GTGTATATATATATATATACATTGTGTTTAAGAGAGGGACCTTAAGGATTGGCAACCACAGAGAGGTTTAGGGTTTAGGGTTTAGGGTTTGAGGGTTCAGGGTTTAGGGTTTAGGGTTTAGGGTTTAGAGTGTTTCGTCAGGCAGATCAGCAAGGCAGAGCGCCTTTGCACGTGGCCGTCTGGAACAGCGTCTGGGATGGACTCACCCAAGGCCGCCAAATCGTAAAATGTTGAAAGCACGAGAGAACCCGAACCCTAAACCACGTGAAATTCTGAAAGCATAAAATCATCATCTTCGCGACTCAGAAGATCAGGGGCGATATGGTGGCATGTTGTTTTCATGAATGAGGCACAAGTGCGTAGCCTAATTGTATGACATAGCCTTACTAGTGACTTTGTTCGTCATAAACTGCTTACTATACGTCCTCTGACCTCCAATTAGGCAATACTGAGGCTCTGTGCGAGTGGTGGACCTCTTGGTGAGGGGCGGGGCCGACAAGAACAAGGCGGATTGGGACGGCAGGACAGACTGTCAGCCAATCCGAGCAAGCCCAGTCAGCTCTGAGTAGGTTTCTGCCGGTCTTTGTAAAGGCCTCTCCCGTACGGCTCTAGGGACTCATATTTTAAGGCTGTTGGCATATCTGTTGTGACAGTTAAACCGTTTGGACCCCCCTCTCATCCTAAGCCCCAACACGACCTGCAACAATCCCCTGTATACAGGCGGCCCTTCTGCCTGTTCGCAGCTTTACGGGCTCCTTCAAGTTGTTAAGGGTTCCTTTACATACGGTTGATGATATACATCCTGCATTTCCCATAATAAGGAATATACCATGATTCCCATAGTTTAGGGTCCTTATACCATCAACAGTAAGAAGGCTTAGTAAGTACAGGAACCGTTTAGGATTGCTTTGGATCTATGCTTGAAGATGCCTCTGCGATTCCGTCTGACCGGTCATGCCTGATAATGGTTTAGAGTCTAGAGTTTAGTATGATTTGCCCGAAGGGTCCAAGTATAGTCCTTATATTGTTTGCTTTGGTACCCAAAAAGACCCCACAGCCCTATGATAAGGAGTACTTGGAGCCTTACGGGTTTTGTACCCAAAGCCCTAAACCCTAAACCCTGAAGCCCAAGCCCTTGAAGATAGGGCTAGGGCACAGGGACATCCCTAAACCCCGGCTAAAACCAGGCCGCCGTGATCCCCAGCCCCGAGATGCAAAAGCCCGGGTTGGGGTTGAGGGCTTTGGGTGTAATTGGGTATCAGCAAACCGTCAGGTATAACTAATTTATAACCCTAATCCTAGACTCTCCACCCTAAACCCTACCCTTTCAGTAAGATTTTCCTTCAGGACGCCATTGTTTCTGGCGGCTTTCCTGGGATCACTTCCTGTCGTCCGGGCTTTGGTGGAAGCTGGGGCGTCGCGGCCGGAATGAATCTTCAGGGTTTACGGGTTGATGAGAGCTCCATAAGGATAACCCAACAAGCCTTTCACCAGGTGTAAGGGTCAAGACATAGGTGAAATGTTTAGAGACTTTTGTGAACTTACCTATGGTTGAGGTGCATGGGAGGCTATGACCTATCTTGGAGAAAACAGGATACTCCTAAAACGACACTCCGGGGCTCGACGTGCCACTCCTCCATGGTTGGTCATCTCGTGAAGAGCACTCGAAAACCCCTGGCCGGAGGCGATTCAGCCTATATCCAACACAATCGTGTGGCCTAAGGCGTGTACCCATATAGCATATACCTAGGCATCAAAAGGGGTTGCTACATAGGTATTTATATGTTAGAGGGTATACTATATAGCTACACGGAGCCTTTAGTGTGAGAGAGTCGAGGTACGGCATTGAAGCCTGCAGGGGTTAGGCAGTACAATCGGATGGAATCATACTGTTCCTGGGGGCTGCTTAACAAAAGTCTAGACCACCAATCCTAAAACCCTACCTTATACCTACCAAAACCTACTTTCTTGTAGGTCCCTATAAATTCCATACCAGGGTTTGTAATAAGAACCTACAAAAAATGGGGTTTGGCAGTTTAAGGTAGAGCCTGAACCCCAAAACTGTTCTACTTGTTAAGACCCCTACGTTGGGTTGTGGTCTTCGGATCTCTGGCTCCCCTTTGGGCGAGAGCAAAGGGTTTAGGCTTTAGGGGTAGAGGGTTGAGGGGTTGAGGGTTTAGGGTTTAGGCTTTAGGGGCCCAGGGTTTGGGGGTTGAGGGTTCAGGGGTATAGGTGTTTAGGGTTTAGTAGGGTCGAGACTGGGTATAAACACCCTGAAGCCTGCAAAACAAACCGTAGACATGTCCAGCTTTATGGCAGCGGGAGTTCTCGTAACCCTAAACCCTAAACCCTAACCGCAGATATAAGCTCTAAGCTCTTCCTTCGCAGCGCACCGTCAGGCGAATAAAAGCAAGGCAGATCCCCATGGCCGTACTCCACTCAGCATAGCTGTGCCCGGTTCCCGGTCGCTGTCTTTGGGTGAGTCTGGGATGGAAGAGTTTAGGGCTAGGATATCGTAGGGTTCAGGGTTTTAGGGTTTAGGGTTTAGGGTTTAGGGCTTAGGGCTTAGGGTTTAGGGTTTAGCGTTTAGGTAGATGAAGAGCAAAGATTGTCAGGCTTACAGGGTCTCCAAGATGGATGCAGTTTAGGAGGTTTCAGGGTTCGCCTTCCTCACTCGTGAACCTGCTGTTGATGATATAAATCCTGCATTACCTCAAGGACCCTAAAGGGTTCCTTTAAAGGGATCTATAGGGTATAGGGTTTACGGTTTAGGGTTTAGCATTACCTTAAGGACCGTAAACTATGGGAATCATGGTATATTCCGTATTATGGGCAATGCAGGATTTATATCATCAAGCGTAGGTAGCGGGAATCTCGAAAACAACAGGGGTCCTATGTACTGTTATGGGGGATATGTCCCTAAATCATAATAGCAACTCCGAGTATAGATACCCTGCACTGCACTGTATAGCCCTAAACCCTAAACCTTAAACAGTAAACCCTAAACCCTAAACCCTAAACCCCTAAACCCTAAACCCCTAAACCCTAAACCCCTAAACTCCTAAACCCTAAACCCTAAGCCGGACCCTTTGGGAAAGCATGTTGCAGGCCCCGGGCTGCTTCGGTTGCTGGAATTTGGGATCCCAGGGTTTAGGGGTTTAGGGTTTAGGGTTTACTGTTTAGGGTTGTTGGAGTTTGGGATCTTAGGTTTACCCCAAGGCTCTAAGGGCTCATAGTTTAAGGTTTTTGGGGCCCAAAGACCATACTAAAGAAGGCTTCTGGGCTATTTTGAGCCATAGGGTTTAGGGTTTAGGGTTTAGGGTTTAGGGTTTAGGTGTAAGCTACAGAAGCATTCGCATTGCTTTCAACATGGTGGCTTCTTCGGTGTCGGTTTCTGTTTTTCAGAAGCCAAGCACTCATAACATTTCTGGCTAGTTAACCCTGCATGTTTTAACCGTTACTAAGCCCTTGGGAGCGTCCTGTGGCAAGAAGTGCCCTAAAGCCCCAAAACTCTAACACCCTAACACCCTAACACCCTCGATCCTCACCCTGAAACCCTGGCTCTGTAAACCCTAACAGCCCTAACAGGTGTGGCTCACATTTTGCAGTGGTGCGGCTGCTGATTGAAGAAGGCCGATCCAGTGCTTTGGACTCTCTTCTTGGAGGATCTGTGGGTTCAGTTCTTGGCTTGGTATGGTTTGTACATTTCTGATAGGGCTTTGTTACTTTCCTTCTGAGAAAGCTTATAGTATATGGGTTACTAGGAGTATATAACTGGTACTATACATTTGGTATAGGTTTTGTTTATAGTGGTTACTTGTTTGATCCTGTTCCTTAGTTTCTCCCTGGTTACTTCAACTTCTAGTAAGCGGCTTACTATATGGGTTGCCATAGAAGGGCTACTGGACTTCACAGGTGGGTTTGGAAGCATAGCAACGGCTTCCTGCGACACTTTCGGGTTTATGTTTATAGTTTAGTGTATGCCTTTCCGGAAATGTTGCAACCATGGTGGCTCAGGAGGCTTTCCCTGAACTCGACAAAGGCTCCCGGTCCTGCAGATTGACCTCATGCCGTTTTGTACTCATCGCAAGTCGGGCGTCGAAGCTTTGTCAGTGAGTCGGCCCTAAACGGCAGACCCCTAGCTCCTAAGCCCTGTTTAATCTGTTTAGGAGCACAAATTAAATGGACCCCACATTGTCGGCATAGGGACCCCGAGGCAAGGGATTCCAGAAAGCTTTGCTTTCTGAGACAGAAGACCCAATGTATTTGGGTTTAGGGTTTAGGGTCGGGCTGCTAGCCTTAGGCCCTATAAACATATTATATTATATTATATTA